AAAGGACTCATTAAATATGTGTGTTAGAGGCCCTGCAAAGTATTTTTCAAATAGCTTGATTATCTTTGTGTTAGGGTCAAAGGGACCCACTGCTTTGTTTACTTGAAGGCTGCTTAGCTTGTTCACGACGCTGTCAAACGTAATATATGGTAAGGGTTCATAGGGTCCAACATGAAGCCATTCACTTCTTACTTCTGAAAAGTCGCTAGTGAGGTTAGTAAAAAAATCGTTCATGTGACAAGCGGTCTCTTTCGGGTTTAATGGAGCCTCAGTTGCAGGATTAATGTGAGTAAAGCCTTGTTGTTTCTTTCCAACTATTTTTTTAATGTTTTTCCACCATGTTTTGGGATCTTGGACACGGGCAGGTTTAATCTTTTCGTGGTATAGTTTGTGTTTTTCCTTTCGAATTTCCAAAACGATTTTATTACGCAATGATTTAAAATCGTCAGTTCTTCCCCGCTGATACAATTTGTCTCTTTTGGAAAATATTTGTTTAATTTTTCCAGATATAAACAGTTTATCGTCCTCATGCACTTTAAATGTTTTCAACGGGAAAACAGTATCAATCATCTCTGATGTAACAGACAGAAAGGCATCTACTTTGCCATTTATGCAAGGAGAGTTATATACCATTGGCCAGTTTTGCTGGCTGATAAGATCTTCAAATAACTGAAGACTGGAGTTCTTTATCGGTCGAGTAATGATTTTCCTTGTTATATTCTTATTCACTGTTCGAACTCTTGGTCTCCAAACGATCATGCAGTGGTCAGAACTACCAAGTGGGGCAAGCACCTCCGGTTCCTCATATAAAGTGTGAACGTTGCTAAATATAAGATCAAGAATTGCTGTTCCCCTTGTTGGTTTCTTCACCACCTGCTTTAATCGGCAGTTGTTCGTAATTATCTTCTCCTGAAAACCGTTGCTCACAGAATTGAAATCCCCAGCAACAACAATTGATAGATTCGGACTTTCACTTGTAAGCGCATCGTAGCAGCTGCAGAAATAGTCGTAAAATTCCTCAATAGCTCCAGAATTTAGCGATGGGGGTAAATAAACGCATGCCAAGGCAATTTTTGAGATTGATCTGGGGAGCCATTTTGGACGTAGTATGATCCATAAATTAATGCATCTTTCCATATGTTAGGGAATTCACCAGTGGACAGAGATGTATTAAAGATGTGACATACAGGTTTGGCCAATTCGTACGCGAAATCCTTAATAATCCGGTTAGGAATATTGTCAGGACCGCTGGATTTGAAAACTTTTGTATTGAGCATCTTAGTGCAAACTTCGTCAGGGAAAATTTTTGGTACAGGCCTTGGTGCAGGGAGAAAGGCAGGTAGCAGGAGAGGATTCAGTGGTGGTAGGTCATTACTCACGCTTAAGAAATAGGTGTTAAGTGATTGGGCGAGATCTTTACCAAATAGAGTGGTACCATTCTTAACGATCTTAATGTTATTGGTTGCAGATCTTTTTTCCCGGACATCTGGTTAACGCAGTCCCACCATTTTCTGGAGTCACTGGATTTTAGGTGTTGTACCTTGTTCGTATAATATGCACGCTTTTTCACTCCTATGTCGTTTCGGACTTTAAGTCTATAGTGACGCCAGAGGTCAAGGTTACCAGAATGAAAGGCTTTTTGCCTTTGATAAATCAGTTTTTTTAATGCAGGCGTCATCCATGGTTTGTCAGGTATGTCGGCCACATGTGGCCTTTAGCCATTGCTATCTCCCTCCAATACAGGGGCGTAGGAACCGGGGGGCACGTGCCCCCCCCCCCAATTTTTTCAAAGGACTAAACGTGCCCTTTCTTGATGAAAAGTGCCCTTTTTTGTGATGAAAATTAAAGTGCTCTTTTTGTACAAGCTAATGTCGCTGTAAATACTAAATTAACATCAAAGGTGCCCTTTTTGTTTGGAAATTTCCAAGTTTTTTAAAAATATTTGGTCAAAACATTTGGTCACCCGTCGCCAACATTTCCGGGAAAAATTTTTAGGTGCCCTTTTCAATACCCTAAAGTGCCCCTAGAAGCCGGTGCCCCCAATCTTTTGATGCTTCCTACGCCCCTGCTCTAATAGATTATCTCACAGAAAGGTCCCTCTTCAACTGGCCTCTTTTCCGGTCATAGTTCTCAAACTTGAAACTTATAAAGAATTATCTTCGCTCAAGTATTTCTCAAGGTCATCTATTCTATTGAGAACAAAGAAGCGTGATTTTTGGATATAGAGAAGCTGATATAAATTGATAAGTTCGCAGAGAAAAAAAGCAAGGATCAGCAGATTTCAAAGTTTGAAGTATAATTGTTCCTTGATCCTTTTTTTCAGTTCAGGTTCTTCGGACAAGTATAATTTTTGGTGACTTTTCAGAACTGTATGGTTGTTAGCATTTAAATCAGACTGTCAGTCAGTTTTGATGTTAGTCAGTGAACGAGGTTGGTCAGTATATTCACTACGGTAGTTACATGTACCTAAACATTTTGATAAAAATATATCCCTCAAAACCGTAGTTAAACAGTTTATCTTTAAAGAAAAATTTGGGGGGCATACACAACTGTTGCGTTCCTTTAGAATATAATTGCTTATTTTTCACCCTGCTCGGTTTCCTTTGTTCTTATCGGGGAATATATTCAATATTCCCCTCTAATCAATTTCCGTTTAATTATCCCTTCTAATATTCACCTGCAATGTCTTTGCAGCACAAAAAATGAGAGAAAACAACATAACGAAGGCAATATGGCATTAAGAACTATTTCTATTCTGACTCATTAACACGACCTCGCAATGTGAAAAATAAGTACGTTATTCTGAGGCACCTCGGGGTTTATTCACCTCGATCGGCGCTGCGCGCCTCGGTGAATAAATCACATATCGACTCGTTGCCTCAAAATAACCTATACTTATGGGGGGGGGGCTTTTAATATTTTTACCGGGGGCCCCCTGATGTGGCGTTACGCCACTGCGAGGCAGTCGAGGCTGGAGACTTGTCCACATCTTCAAAATTCCCAAAAGACTGATTTTGTTAATTTAATTAAATTTGTATTTGACCATAAGGCTAAGGTTAAATCTAGCTCTATATTCTTTGGAGCCTACAGTAAAGTGCAAAAATAATGAGACTTTCAGTATTTTCTTCCTTTCTGACTTTAAAAATATTGATTCACTGTCTGTTTCGGCTATATCCTAACATATTTACAACATTGTGTGAAGATGGGGGCAATCACCTTCTTGTCTCAATAACTTTTGCACACGATTGTATGGATGAGTTGGGGTTAGGTTAAAATGCGGAAGCGGATGCGGAACGGAACGGATGGGGTTAAAATGCGGAAGGGAACGGAACGGATGGGGTTAAAATGTGTTAAAAAAATCCGTTCCGCATTTTAACCCCATATCCGTTTCGTTCCGTTCCGCATTTTAACCCCATATCCGTTCCGTTCCGCATTTTAACTCCATCCGTTCCGCATCCGCTTCCGCATTTTAACCTAACCCGGATGAGTTGTGGAAATTGTCGGGGAGTGCTGGGCTTCCCTAGGCCCTAGCTTTCTCGTGCAGCCATGGACCGTCAAGAATTGGTTTCAAATAAATAGTGATTATAAATTTTCTCTTTGATTCCTTTCTCTTACTACTGGCATGAAATTAAGAATATAATCTTCTATAAGTCAGAAAATCATTTACATTTAATTAAGGGTTGGTTGTATAAACCGCTTAACTACGTTTTACATGATCACTATTTTCTAGAATTTTCTAGTTAAATAGTCGTTAACTCTAAAATACGCGATTTTAATTGGTTGACTTTTGCACGAACTGTAGTACACCCGGCCCCAGCAATTTATAAATCAATTTACCTTATCTTTTTATTAACTATGATTAATTTTGCATTAACTGCGTCTCGCCGTTGATTGCAAAGTTGATATCAAATTTTACAGATTCGCAGTTGCTCATTGGAGTTGCTAATTAGCGGTTGTAACCTACAGGTTGCTAATATTAATACGGCCTAGCTTGTCTGCAAAGAGTACGATCGATTTGGAAACTATATGAAACACTCAATCAGTTATTATAACAATATATTATAAATAAAGTCGCGGCGCGTGTGCCATCGCGCGTGCAGGACACGCGCAAGAACAGCAGGATGTCATGCATGCAGTCGAATGTGTAAAAATTAAATATTCAATTTCAATGTGCCATCGAGTGTTACATTTCACCGCCTACTGGTCTAAAATTGTGGCTTTAGTTGAGTTACTACGCTTTACGATCGCTTTGGGAGTCTAATACAATTCTATACACAATCATATCGTAAACATGTGTGGGTTCATTTAGATTGAAATATGTCTGTTGTATTGTCATCGATGAAGCGAAAAAGAGGCAGTTGCGAAGCAAACGGCGATGTTTCTGGTGGAAAATACGAGGAAGACGGCGATGTGCAGGAGCAAACCGGGTTGCTTTCGTCCATCAAAACTTTCTTGTGGTCGAATACACCGACTAAAGAAAGCAAGAGTCCTCTGCCAGCAGCAAAGAGGCGACGAAACAGCCCTGATGTAAATAATGAGTGTATGATTTCTTCATCGCCTCGTGTAAACCGACCGAGAAAAATCAAGTGTAGCTCGAATGGTGACAGATTTGAAAATGAGAATGATGTTGCTGTTGGCGCCTATCTTGACGACAATAAAACCGCCGAAAATACAAAACCACGAACGTCCATTCTTGGGACACTCTTCTCGCCTGTCCTAACGCTTTTCGGGAAAAACGGGGAACTAAAAACCGCGACATCAAGCAGTGGCGAACTTGTTGAATTGCCTTCAATAAATGGAGACAATTTGAACTCAAATTATAACTCTGTTTGCTCGTGTGAATCAACAAACGATGACTGTGAAGTTAATGGCGGGCAAGCGGGAAAGAAAGACGAGAATGCCAACATCGAAGAGATAAATTCAAATCACATAGAAACGGGAGAATGGCCTGACAATGATCCATATTATTTCTTGCGACATTTACCACCTCTCACTGATGCAATTCGTTCTCATTCAACGCCAGTTTTACCTTTGAGAACACGTAGTACACCTGAGTATACATTGGTTTTAGATCTTGATGAAACGTTAGTACATTGCAGTCTAAATAGACTCGAAGATGCAGCTCTAACCTTCCCTGTACTTTATCAAAATATTTCGTATCAAGTATTTGTACGTACAAGACCGCATCTGCAACAATTTCTCGAGAAGGTCGCCGAATCATTCGAAGTCATTCTATTCACCGCATCGAAACGGGTTTACGCTGATAAATTGATTAACATTTTGGACCCAAAGAAAAAGATATTTCGGCATCGATTATTTCGCGAACATTGTTTATGTGTTCACGGCAATTACATCAAGGATTTGACTATTTTGGGAAGGGATTTGACCAAGACTATGATTGTGGACAATTCACCTCAAGCTTTCGCTTATCAGTTGTTCAACGGCATACCGATTGAAAGTTGGTTCGCCGATCATTTTGACAGGGAACTACTTGATTTGTTGCCGTTTCTGAATTATTTGGTCGAACAAGGAAGCGACGTACGGCCTGCTATTCGTGATCGTTTTAGAATGCATGAGTTACTTCCCGTGGGCATAGCATGAGGTGAGAAAAAGACAATGTTTATGTAGCAATAAAACTGGCGCCAAAATTTGCAAGCAATTCACGGAAGCAATAAAGTATATTGCTTTGTGTTAAAGGACTTGTTTATTTCGTTAATATAGATCTTGACATTAGTATGGTTTATCTGAAGTTTAGGGTAAATGCCGTATAAAACAGAAAGCATATGTTGGTATATAAATCGAGTCCTATGGCTGCAAATGTAAACTAGATAAATTGTCCACCTGTTAAAAAACAGCATGTGTTGTTCCCGCCATATTATATTTCCATAAAAAGTTAATATTTGCCACTTCACATGTTTACAACGTACTATATTTTTAACGTAATAATGATATTTTAAGGTTGTTTTTAAAAAACACTAACTATGTTAGTTTATATAATCCTTGAACAGCTTTAACACTGCATAAATTACTAAAATTAGCAACAGTATCATGACACGATTTGTCATTATTAATAGAGTCTATATAAAGTATACATAGTTCATACTTAATAAATTTAGGATTTTTATGTTGTATAATATTTTCTAGCATTGTTTCTTTTATCTAATATGAGCTCTTCAATATTACATGTGTTTCAAGGCTGATATTGGCTTTTTAATAACATAATTTTCATTTTCCAAATTGACTTGAAAGAGGTAAAGCCACTATCCCCTTTAAGAGTATATTTGTCTATTGTTAGTCAAGAGTAAAAATAACACTGCGGAGCATATTGTGGTATCTTCTGTTTAATGTACCGATCAATTCGAAACTTCAACACCCCCTCCCCCTGGGCATATCCCGGGAATTTGACTTCAAGTCTTCTCCAGCTTTTCTTGGCTCAACTTGCAGTTGGCAAAAATGAACACATTTTCCAACCAGGGCCAAAATAAAATATGTGGGTTTCCCGACCCTACCTAGCTTTTGGACGTCGAAATCCCGACCCTAAACTTTTTTATTGGATCATGCTTGCAAGTGTTTCCACTGACTTAGAGGAAAAAGTTTGTGGAAAATTGAAAATTGTGCACTCAAATGTGCCCTACTTTATTATTTTACTCTATCTACTGCCAGATGATTTTACTCCTCAGTTGATTGGGCTCCCCAGTATAAGATTTAGGTCACTCAGAGTAAGGTTAGGGCCCAGATTGAGCCATTTACTAGTGGGATCTGCAGGGCCAAATGGCCCCACAGTATATATGTTAAAATAGTAGGGAATTTGACGTTCTAAGTCTTCCATGTGGTGGGGCATTTCATAAAGGTGGGGAATTTGAACCGGAAGTCTTAAATTTTGCCCGTTTCCGCATGCTTCCTGCATGCACAGAAAAGACTTCACATTGGCATTAAATACAGTTTTCTCAGATTTCAAGGGAATCAGTTGTTATCAATTATTAATCAATTGAATTAATCAATTGTTAGTCGATTACAAAATTAATCGATGGGAGCAGCTCTAATTTTGCCATTTTCAGCTTTGCCACAGCCAAATTGCAATATCATAATTTGATATGCTGCATCATGTCAGCTTACCTTGGAGACAAAATTGAGCTGAATATTATCTGCCATGATCCAGTTATAAATAGAGTTTAACCCCAGTGTTGTGAACCAACACAGCCAGAGATTTGAGCTGAAAAACCAGAGTTTGCACAGCACTAGGGTAGATAGTCTGGTTAACCCAATAAGTTGCAATTCACCCAAATGTGCCCTTCCTTACTATTTTACTTTGTCTAATGCCAGATGAGTTGATAGTAAAATAACACTGTACGGCACATTGTGTTTGAATAAGACATATGGCTAGATAGTCTGGTTAACCCAATAAGCTGCAATGCACTCAAATGTGCCCTACTTTATTATTTTAATATATCTACTGCCAGATGATTTTACTCCTCAGTTGATTGGGCTCCCCAGTATAAGATTTAGGTCACTCAGAGTAAGGTTAGGGCCCAGATTGAGCCATTTACTAGTGGGATCTGCAGGGCCAAATGGCCCCACAGTATATATGTTAAAATATACCTTGCAAGGTTGGAAAATGTGCATTTGCTGGCAGCTGTGCTGACGGCCAATGCAGCAGCACTTGCTACAGATTTAATGGAGACTACTAGTATATGCTTATTTAATCTCTTTGAAATGTTTGCAGCTTTTCTTGGCTCAACTTGCAGTTGGCAAAAATGAACACATTTTCCAAGGGGTCAAAAAAATTTTCCGGACAACCAATATTTTTCCGAACATACACAAAATTTTCGAAAAATCACAAAATTTGCCAAAAAATTGACTTAATTTTAGACAAGATTTACAGAATTTGTCACATTTTTTTTTATTGCAAGCCAAAATTGCCCGACTGTTGATCGAATATTGCCCGACTGCCCAAAACGCCTATGCAGATATACCAAAATTTTTATGCGTTAGATTTACTAAACGTGGCGTGAGAGAGAGCGTGAGACTGAAGCGAATTGCGTGAGACTCACGCCGAATGCGTGAGAATTGAGAGGTTTGGCGTGAGAGCGTGAGACTGAAGCGAATTGCGTGAGACTCACGCCGAATGCGTGAGAGTTGAGAGGTCTGCCTGCCCCACCTAAGTTTTTATAAGAAGAAACCGGAAACCCACATTTTTTGGCCCAGTCAATGTGTCAAACTAACTGTCACTCTGTTGAATGCCATTTTGTTCAAGGAGAGTAATACCCAATCATCTAATACCCAAATTAAGAATTTTCTGGTTTGTTGAGGTACTGACATTTTTATTACTATGGATAGCTAGCACCGAAACTGTACTCTTAAAAATGCAAGTCAAATACAAATTTGATAAGGCAGGCTATCCATAGCCTATCGAAGACTGGCTAGATCCATAGTCAACGTTTATTCATAAATCTGGTCCTTCACCATCACGTGTGTCTTGTATTTTTGCCAAATCCACCAATAGCAATTTCCCTATTGTTCGTGGATAGGTAACTTTCCTAAAACATTGCTATTGGTTAATTGGGCAAAAATACAATAAACGTTGACTAACACAGATGAGTTATATTGTAATTGTAATAAGTTTCACAGCCATCTTCCCTTCGATAGACTATGGGCTATCTCAGGGTTTATTTTAAGAAAAATTTAGAACTGCACATATAGGGATGTTACGAAGGCAACGGAACGGGGGGGGTCGAAGGATTTTTTACCTGCCTATAGGTGACAGAATAATGGTGTGGTTGGGTGGAAGAATTGGAGAAAGTCCATACAAATTCGATTTTGGGTGCGGGAGCTAGGGAGTGTTCCCGAAAACAATTTGAATCTAGAGGCTCTTAGTTCTGCCAAAGATTTGTTTACCCAACCACTCACAAAAACTGTTTCAAAACATGTAACTGGAAATCATGGATATTCAATATATAACAACCTTAAATTTTCATTTGAGGCAGCAATGAATATTAGGTTCTCCCACTCTAATCTCTTTTGGGGAGCTTTGCTGGCCCCAATTTTAGCTTTTTTCCATTACCCCAGCATGTAAGTGATTTGTGCCATTTTGTGAGCAGTGCTTCCATTTCCAAAAAACATAATTTCCTTCCAACCGTTCAAAATTTCCTTATTTTTGAAAAAATTTCCTTGCAACAAAAATTATTGAATTTTACGTAATTTAAAACTGATTTTATAGTCATTTATCTCGAATAACCGGGTATTTCTTGTTCTAGAAGGAACATAGACGTTGCAGGAGCTGAATTATCAAAGGGGAGAGACAAAGAGTTTACCTTAGATTAACACGAAGGAGAATAAGCAGGGGGGTCTGGGGGTCCTCCCCTAGAAAATTTTGAGATTTTGCATCTCGCAGACAGGATTTTCAGCATTTGGACATCTCGCAGACAGGATTTGAAGCGCATTTCCTTGTAAATTGCCGTATTCTGAGGATTTTTTAGAAATAATATAATTTCCTTCACATTTCCTTCAATCTTCCGAAATGTCTTTCAAATTTCCTTCAGATTCGAATTTCCTTATAATTTCCTTCAAATAGTTAAAATTTCCTTCAAAAAGGAAATTTCCTTCAAAATGGAAGCACTTTGGAAGTACTTCAAGTAAGACAAATTATAGTGGATCCATAATTCTATTACGCACCTCCTACGCGCATCTGATGACGTCACTTCCGGTTTACCACAATCAGGCTTGCCCAGACATACCCAAAACTATGACGTCACTTCCAGTCCCACAATCCCTTGCGCACCCTACACAACCTCCCAAAGTCCCCCACAAACCTCCGCCCCACGCGTCTGCAGAATGCTTTCCGAAGTCTTCCCGAAGTCTTCCAAAAACAAAATCAACATTTCAGACGTAAAATTTTTTTCTATATAATAAAATGAAAGATGAACAATGGTACGACGCAAGGGAGAGCTTTAGCGATGAGGACGAACAGTGGTACGACGTCAACCCGGAAGAGGAGCTAACACCCATCCTGTCCAAGCACGGCATCAAAAAGAAGGCGAGCAAGTACATCATCAACCCCAGCGGAACCTACGGACCTAACCACTTCCTATCCATGACAGCGGACGAGGTAACAACGCTTCTAGATTCCGAAACGAGGTCAAGGAAGGTGAGGACGGTTCTGATATGTGAAATGGTTAGAAATAATCCCAGAACAGGGGAAGAAACAATCACCATCACACCTTTCCAGTCAGGTACCCACACACTGGTCGGCACAGATGACACGGGAGATACCCTTAACACCATGAGGGAGAAAATGCTGGAATCTTTAGCAAAATTCCAAAAGCATGGAAGTGGATGGAGGTTTCGGAGAGTGGAAACACTCGAGATTTACATTGGAAAATTCCAACTGTTGAAGGGAAAGGGTCACATGCCACTACCTAAGTCGATCGAGAAAAAGAAAGCGATCATCACCATGAAGAACAATGACGATGAGTGCTTCAAGTGGGCAGTTACACGCGCGCTAAACCTGACCGAACAAAACCCTGAAAGGATTTCAAAGGCTCTTATAGAACACGCTAGAGAGTTGGACTGGGAAGGAATAGAGTTCCCAACACCTCTAAACAACATCAAAAAATTCGAAGAAAATAACAACATCGGCATAAACGTATTCAGCGCTGATGAGAGTCAAAAGGTATATCCTCTAAAACTAGCCGGAAAGTCCAATTCAATAAACTTATTTCTATGGAGAACCACTACAGCGTCATCAAGGATATGTCCAGGCTCGTAAGCGCACAAATCAATGGAAAAAAGAACAAAAAATACATTTGCAGTCGTTGTCTCAACGCATTCGGTTCGGACTACGACTATCAGAGGCATGAGTATCCGAAACCCGGTAGTGTCACCAAGTTCGAAAATTATGGAAAAACACAAACCGTTCCGTTTGCCATCTATGCGGACTTTGAGTGCTACATCGAAGGGTTGGACGCGGTGGAGCAGAACCCCCAACAAGTCGAGCACCGTCCAATATCAAAAGCATAACCCCAGCGGGTTTTGCTATTATGTTAAGTGCTTCGACAACTCCATCTACAAACCCAAGCTGGTACACTACACCCCACAGTATGAGGGAGAAGACGTTGCCAAAAAGTTTGTAGACCTTCTCGAGGAGGAAACCCGTGATATCTACAACAGGTTCAAATTCAAAAAACCTATCGAAATGTCCTCCAAAGACATTGAAAATTATGGAAAGGCAACCGTTTGTTACGCATGTAAGAAAGAATTCACCCCGGAAAACCATAGGGTAAAAGACCACTGCCACTACACCGGGGTATATAGGGGTGCGGCACACAACACATGTAACCTGAGGATGAAAAAACCAAAGTTTATCCCGGTACTCTTCCACAACTTCGAAGGGTACGATGCCCATCTATTCATCAGAAACCTTGGGGTAAGCAGCGGTGATATTAAATGTATCCCTAAAACGGAAGAGAAATACATCTCCTTTACCAAGGAAATAGAGGTCGACGAGTTTAGGGACAAAGATGGTAAGAAAAGGAAGGTTAAAAGGGAACTGAGGTTTCTGGACTCGTTTAAGTTTATGGCAAGCTCCCTAGACAAGCTCGTTAAGGGTTTGGGTAAGGACGACTTTAGAAATTTGGACCTAATGACAGCGCATCACACCAAAGAACAGAAGGAGCTGCTCAAACAGAAGGGTGTTTACCCCTACGAATACATGGATAGTTTCAACAAACTCGGAAAAGCGTCACTTCCGCCAAAGATCAAATTATTCAGCAAGCTGAACGACGAAGACATCAGCGATGCAGATTACGAAAGGGCGCAAAGCGTGTGGAAGACCTTCAATATGCAAACTATGAGGGACTACCACGACCTCTATCTAAAAACGGACGTCCTCCTTCTGGCAGACGTGATGGAAAATTTTAGAAAGGTTTGTAAGACCAACTACGGACTGGATCCGTTGTGGTACTACACAGCACCCGGACTCGCCTGGGACGCCGCGCTAAAGCTGACGGAAGTGGAACTGGAGCTTATCTCCGATCCGGATATGTACCTATTTATCGACAAGGGTATTCGAGGTGGAATCAGTACCATCACCAAAAGGTATGCTAAAGCAAACAATAAGTATATCGGACTCCCAAAAATACCAGAAAGCGTCGTTGAATGCCTAAAAAAGTTGTACGTCACCATTCGGAAGGATCCTAAAGACTTGAACGAAAAGCTGGATGCCCTTGAGGTCGAAGTGGAGGATATTATGAAAAACCACGACGATGCGAACGTAGAATTCGTCAATCGGTACCTGAACAAAAACCTTACAAAATGGGTGAAAGGTATTAGTCGTAACGGCGAAGAGCAATCTATATACCTACCCTATATGGATGCGAACAACCTGTACGGTTGGGCGATGAGTTGCCCCCTACCCGTCAGAGACTTCAAATGGATGAGTGGTGAGGAGCTGGAAAAGTGGAGGAACTATGGTTGCATCCTCGAAGTGGATCTGGAGTACCCCGAGGAATTACACAACAAGCACAACGAATACCCCCTGCGCCGGAAAGAATGAGGGTCAACAAGGTGGACAAGCTGATACCAAATCTCAATAAGGAAAAGTACGTCGTCTACCATGAGACACTAAAATTATACCTAAGTCTAGGGTACACCGGGGGGTAAAATTCGTCGAAGAGCCATGGTTGAAAAAATATATCCAACTCAATACGGACCTGCGTACCAAAGGTACTACGGACTTCGAGAAGGATTTCTTCAAGCTCATGAACAACTCAGTATTCGGGAAGACGATGGAAAACGTCAGGAATAGGGTCGACATCATGCTCGTCAACGACGAGAAGAAATGGAACAAGCTGGTCCAAAAGCATAACTTCAAATCCGCAACCATCTTCTCCGAAAACCTTGTGGCAGTTCACATGGAAAGGACATCCGTAAAATTAACCAAACCCATCTACCTAGGAATGTACGACTTTCACTACAACTACATCAAACCGAAATACGGAGAAGACGCAAAACTCGATCCTATTTACGGACACGGACTCCTTGTGCTACGAAATCAAAACCGAGGACTTCTTCAAGGACATCTCCAACGACATCCACAAAAGGTTCGACACCAGCAACCTAGGCAAAAGCCATCCATCCGGAATTCCGACAGGCGTAAACAAGAAGGTCATCGGGATGATGAAGCTGGAAACGGGCGCAAAGCAGATCGAAGAGTTCGTAGGATTAAGGTCAAAACTATACGCCTACAAAATGGCGGAAGACGGGGATGAGGAGAAAAAGTGTAAGGGTTAAGAAAACGGTTATCAAAAAGGAGATAACATTCGACAACTACAAGGAATGCCTCTTCAGCGGCAAAAGACAATGGAGGGGAATGAATGTCTTCAGAAGTAGGCTGCTTGAAATATATACGGAAAGGGTTGTTAAGGTAGCCCTATTGACAAACGACGATAAGAGAGTGGTCATTAAGGACGGAATAAACACAACGGCAATCGGACATATGGATCTGAGACAGTAAGAGTCCAAACGAACCAATTTCAATATTCGAAGGAACATTAAAATTCTAACGGGTCTATAGAAGCCTCTTCCGAGGTTCCACCACCCTCTCGCTCAAATACTTCGCCTCCTGAAGATTTACCTGAATGGAAACCATATTTCCGGATAGGTATATGCTCCAAACCCTAATCAAAGCATCCAAGTAGAAGTGACCGTCCCTCTGCTCCATCGGATTCATGTCTCCACCTCCGTCCGCCCTAAACATCACCGTCTTCTGGTCGATCTTCGCATACAAAACCGGTTGCTTTCCGTTCCGATAGAAACATCTCATCACATTGGTATTTGGTTTTCCGACGGCCGCAGCACACTTTTTCTCCACCGTTTCCAGAGCTGATATAAATTCCGTATGTGCTCCGACTGCTAAAGGAAAGGTATAGTTGTCCTTTCCGAACTTGTTGTCTTTGTTGATCCCATAGGCTAGGCAGTTTTCCAGCTTGAGTAGAAGAGGTCCACCGTCTTCCGCCACGAGTCCGATCTTTCCAGACCCGAACCTGTTATTCCTGATGGAATCCTCAAATACGAACGAATTTTCGGAGAAGTCTGATACTCTGGTAATAGACATAGTGTCTTTTATTATATGGAAAAATTTTTACCTTCGGGCTAAACCTAAAGTCGATTCTGTTTTTTCCAAACCCAAAAGGTTTGAAAGTAACAATCATGACTGGTCGGTCCGGGGACCTACGGATGAGGTCCTCTTTATTATACAGAAAAACTGACTTTCGTACCATTTTTCTTTGGCTTTGGCTAACTTTTCCAACGCTTTGTTATGTCTTTTCATTTCGTCTTCGTATCCGCCATGGTTTAATTTGCTGAACAGAAATCCGGCTCCGGCGAATGCTACGGCGTTGAATAATCCTCCAACTACAACACTTGTCATCTCCTTTTATTATAGTGGTTTACTTGAATGGATCATCCGGTACTAGTTTTTTGAATTGTAAATAGTGATCTCCGACCGCACCGACTCCAAGGGCTACGGCTAGTTTCAGACACTCCCAGACTGTCGGGGTACTCCCAGACTGTCGCCCGCAATTTTTTTGCTTACCACAGACACAGCGACTGCGCCAAGCGTGATAAGTCCGGCATCGAAAGCTTCGTTCATGAAATCTTTTCTATCTCCCATGTTTTATTATATAGTATTTATTTTTTAGTTTTCTTCCTCGGATTCTCCGGTATCCTGACAGTTGCATGGTTCTTGGAGTTTATCCATAGAGGCAATTGCTATCATGTTGTCCGCGAGGCGGTATCCGATTTTCACAGCTCCCATCAACCCCAGGACTTGCCCCGGCGTGAGACCGCTGTTTACCGCAATTGCGGCGATTGCGCTGAGTACGATGAGTTCGTTTGTGTTACTCATTTATTATATAGTATTTATTTTTTCCTTTTTACGTATTCGTTGTACAGGAAGTAGGTTAATACTAGAGCTAAAATCCAAAGATTCTTCGCAAGGAACGCAATACCCTTTGCTCCCCATGACAAAACTTTGGCGATGATGTTTAGTACGGATGCTAGTACGGGTCCGACCTTCCCGGCTAGGTTTGCCATTGCTTTTGCGAATTTGCTTGTTGCTCTTGCTCCCTTTTTTGCTACGCTTCTAGCTCCTATAATAATCGTGGTGATGATACCCGCCACAGATATTGCTACGACTGATATTCCGGATATATTTTCTTTTGCCCATTTTTTAAATCTTTCGAACCTTGTAAGATCGTTTATTTCTACCTGTTCTTCCACGATGGACATAGCTTTTGGTCCCTTTGGTCGTTCGTTTGATCTTAACCTTATTTCGTCTGCTTTTAGCTCTGCCATGTCTGCCATTGCTTCGTAAAGGAGAGCCTTCTGTTCACGTCCTGCAGTTCGTTCGGTTTCAGCTAGTTCTTTCCAATGATTTCTTTCTATTTCAAGATGGTCAATTTTTCCTTACCTGAGTTTCCTTTTACGTTCAGGATACCTCTCAGTTCCCTTAGTTCATTTCCCGTTATAACTGTACTATTACCGATAGCTTCGCTTTGATTGGATAATTCATCATCCATTCTTTCGGCGATATTTTCTAATACGCTATCTACAAGTTCCTGAGGAGCATCTAGGTTTTGCCGTTCGAATTGTTCCTCCACTAAGGCTGCAGGTGTTTTTGAATGTTCTATTATAGCTTTCCTGATCAGTTCTTTGTATTCGTTTACGGCGGATTACTTGTTCTTGTCCGTGGAGTATATCATTTTCCCATTTTTCGAAATAATGATCTTGATATCTTTGAATGTAGCACCGTTAATTTTTGTTCCGTTAATTTTTGTTACTCTGTACACATCGTCCTTTTTATCCACGGCGGATAGTTCCTCTTCGTAAAACTTTCCGATAATCGGTTCTCCGTCATGACTTTCTATTTCGTACATGTTAGGATCTCCTCTAAATACTTTTACAACTTTGAATATGTCTTCCGTAAAGTTTGCTTCGTATCCCTTGGTAAAGATATTTTTGTATTCGTTATTCGGACCGTATCATCGACTCTAAACTTAGGTAATGGAAATTCTCCTAATCCGTAACCGTATAGCGTAATCCATACTTGGTCTTTGTTTGACTTGCTGTGTTTGGTATGGTTGTAGTTATACTGCTATGTTTGGTATGGTTGTAGTTATTCGTAAGCTCGTCTAGGACGTCGACCCAATTGTAAGTTCCTTTGCTGTAGAAATACTTCCACATCATTGTCTTCAAAGTTCTGTTAAATCTTTCAACAATAGCTGCTTTTTTGTCAGAGTTTGTGGAAAAATAGCGGACGTCGTGTTTTTGTAAGTTTTTTCCTAACACCGACATTGTAGAACTCCTTTCCTTCATCGAACTGAGCAACTTCCAGTTATTTCCCAAACCTTTTCTTGAATTCCTCCAATAATAAGTCCACAGCCTTTGTCATGTTTTTCGTATCTTTTCTGTAGACAGGAATAGCGAATCCATAACGGCTCAGGATCTCGACAGCTGTTAGTATCCAGTAATATCCCTTGTTCTGGTTTTTGTATTTCCTCATATCCACCAGATCCATCTGCAATTGGTCCGCTAGGTCCTTAACCAATGTCCTCTGAAATTTGTGTTTTCTAACAATAGGTTTATACCTTGTGTAGGTGTCTTGGGTCTTTAACCAGTCCTTCACTATTCTTCTACTGACGTCCAGTCCCTCCTCCTTTGCCTTCCGATAGAGCTTCTCCGCGGATTGATAACCGGTACTTGGATTATAGTAAATATCTCTTAACCCTTGTTCAGTAATAAAGTGTTTGTCTTCCATTTTATTTATGTGATATAAAACTCGAGGAGTGCGGATATATCGACCTTATCGCTGATGTTCGTATTAATGCTGAAGGAGAATCTGTTGTGGGAACCGTTATTGACATAAACCCTACTTCCAATGTCTTTGAAAAACGTTGTTGTTCCGTTTAGATGTTGGTCAGATGCATGTCACGGGTAGCGTGCCCACTGTAAAACTTCCTTTACCGTCTACACCAAAATTTAGTGATGTATTAACAACATCACAGTCGATGGTAATATATTTCAAACACTCATTAATAATTCATAATTCATAAGCTTATTGGCAAGTCATGTCAACCATAATATGTCACGTGCAGTGGCTTTAAACCTGATAAAACACTCCTAATTAGTATTCTTTATATAAAAGGCAGTATCTATTGTATCGTGTCCTCATTAGTATTTTTTATATAAAAAATACTAATAAGGCAGTATATCTGTTGAATTTGTAGTCGTGTTTGAAGCCGTTTAATAAACTCGCAGGTCGTGTTTTATTAGGTCTAAAGCCACTCGCGCTTCGCGCTCGTGGCTTTAAACCTAATAAAACACTCCTGCTCGTTTATTAAACAGTACTTAAGACCGTGATTAATATCTGGGAAAAAAGGGAGATCTCTCCCACACTTCGGAGGTTAGGATCTCCGTTTCTGGAAATCCTATTAGTGGAGCAAATTCATTTAAATGTAAGTTCACCTTGGTTGCCGGATAATTGTCATTGGACATTGTCGTGCGTGTTTCGTTCTATTACTATTCCGTCTGCCTTTAGTTTTTTTCTTTATTGCATCGAAGGTCCAGTAGCCTTCGTCGAAGGTAACCTTCTTCTGTCCGTAGGTAATATTATCGTTGACACCCGAACGTACGTTCTTATAAGCCCAGTAGATAGTTGCGTTCTTTAGGATTAACTCTGACTTTGCGTCCGTTCTAATACACTTGTCCGGAAAAAACTTCGTAGTTCCGTTTTCAATAAACACCGTTAACTTCTTCATTTTTATTATATAATAAATAAAATGAGTACTAGTGAAGACATATTCCGCGACTTTTACGGAGAGAACTACGAAAAAATAAAGGCGGCAACACCCGTAGAAATACGGAAGATGAAAGAGGATTTTAGAAAAAAATATCCAGGCGCAGAAATGTCCAAATTTGACTTTCAGGTCACATTTGCGAAGGATGGAACCTTGGAATCCAAGGACATATTCTTTAAGGTTACGGACCCAGAAAGTTACGACATTAAATCCAACACATTCAAAAGAAATAAAAAGTGGATATGGTACCTTTACCAATGGGAGAGAATATGGAGTAATTACGGAACCGTTCAAACCTTTAGGCATAACAGGGACTCACTTCCGTACAGAATAAATAAGTTCGAAATTTATGTTTGTGACTGCATTAACACCTCCCATAACAGCTTTGTCTCCAACTTCGCTGCTCTCGACACAAAGTGGACCGGCACCGCAAAGGATATCACAAGGGTGAAGTTCAATTATATAAGCGATCCCTATTTCGCATCGCTACTGGCTACTTACATTATTACGTACAAGTGTGGGATAAGTACGGAACATCTGCTGGAAAGCAAAGGAACCTCAAACGTAATCACAAGTATTGCTAGGTATCATCTATACTACCACATGCGCAGGTTCCTTAGAAATCCAAGCAAAATGACGAAATACGTAACGAAAGGAAAAAAAGAAGAATAAATAAAATGGAATTCTTATCCACAAAACCTGAAACCAAGTACGACAAAAACCACCGGAAAAGAAAAATGTTCAGTTTCGGAATCGGTATAGAGCGCGGTGATCTTACCATCAACGCTCACATCCAAATCGGATATGTCAGCGCAACGGTAAAAAAGTACGTTAAAATAAATGACAAGAACTCAAATATTACGGAGACTAACGTGGACGAGTCTGGTGTTCTGCCTACTCATCCCAATAACGGTTGAGATTCTTCTCGTCATCATCACCCTAAAATTACTATTTCAATTTTAATGCTTGGTAAAAAGCGTTAAAATTACTCGATATATTCCCAACCTAACGTCTGAAATACCTTCCTACACCGGTTATGGGGAACTTTGCTTTTCGGAATCTTAAGTAACGTCTCATCTATCTCTATGTTAAGTCTTTTACATATTTGGTAAGTTAGGATGTTGAGGTTAGGGAGCCTCTTACTTTTGGGTTCCTCTGCATTGTAAACTTTCTCAATATTTTTCAGGATCTCATATCTTTCTACTGCTGATAAATCAAAATGTAATATATTTCTCCTACAGCAGAAACTCTCAAACCTATAACTGATACTACTTTTGTCCGGACCTCTCATGATTACTCTGTCCCAACAATTATATTCGGAAACGAAGACGGAGACGGAGGGACCAGATACCAACTGATCCACATTCATTGCACGTCTTTTCCCCGTTTATATCAATAAACTGGTGTTTACGGATTTCAAAACAAAACTGTTTGTTGGGTACTTCGGTATTCGCTTGTTGTTCCTCCAACTTTTTTGGACCCATGAGATCCAGGTACTTCTTTTCCGCTTGTCTGAAAAGATCCATGTTTCCTTTTATTATATAATAAAGTATTTCTTTAAATAAGTTTTGAGTACCTTGAGATGACCTTGAGATAACCTTGAGTAAATTTTTTAAAATTTATACTCAAGGTTATCTCAAGGTCATCTCAAGGTACTCAAAACTTATTTAAAAAAATACTTTATTATATAATAACAAAAAACTTAATAATAGTCCTGAGATAACCTTATAAGTATAACCTTATAAGTAGTCCTGAGATAACCTTATAAGTATAACCTTATAAGTAGTCCTGAGATAACATTGGCAGTGGCCTTCCAATTACTTAAGATTACCTTGGGACTATCTCAGAAATATTTTGAGTAACTTTGAGCAAATTTTAAGTAAACTTTAAGTAGTTTTAAGTAGACCTTGGTAGTACCTTGAGACAACCTTAAAATTACCCTGAAACTATATCAGAAAAAGTATATATATTAAATAAAGGATGAGCGAGCCAATAATAACAAAAGCAGAGAAGACCCCAAAACCAAAGGATCCGAAAAAGGTAGAAGCAGGTAAAAGATTAGCCGCAATATCCAGAGCAGCAAAGTAATTCCGATCAGGACGGCTCGGTAAATACGCTAATTTACATCGGTGTTGCGACAGCTACGTTAAGAGGAATCTATTACGTATACAGCAAAACCAAGTCTGCAGACAAGTCCGACCGTACAACCGAACCACAGATGCAAGACGAGCCCAAACCGAAGTTCGAAAAATTTAACAATTAAAAAAATATATTATATAATAAAACAATGGAAAAGAGAAGTCAAGAACTTACGCCCGGTTTCAAAAGGACACTGACCTCCGATATTGTAGGAAACAGAGTATGTAACTTCGTTACATTTAACCCAAACGAATCCAATCCCGGAAATGACATCCGGATAGTAGTCCCAAAACTGGAACCGAACACCTGTATCGTCCCAGACTCGTTCCGTCTGTCGTACGAGTTCAAAAGCGAGAACGTCAAATCCTGGTTTATGAATAACCTCGGCAAACTCTTGTGTGAACGGCTCATGGTATGAGTAGGCTAATACGACAATAATGGTGAAAGTCTCATCGAAGTCTACAAAGATCTCTGGAAAATGGATACAAAAAGAGCAAACATGGTAGAATACGGAATTATGAACGAGAACACAAGAAAGCTATTGTCGAAGGATGACAGCGCTGATATAACTGCAAAGACGGAAGGTGACTACGACCTGGTGATGGCGAGGGTATACAAAGAGCAGAAAATGAAACTCGGGAAAATTCTCAATGATCATGGTCCTAACGCACCGTACAGCATGAAGAATGGATTCGAGTACACAGTAACTCTTCCAAAAACCGACAAGATTATGGTTGCACAAGCGAACGAGAAGGTGAAAGAATATACACTGAAAAACATGCATTTGGAATACGAAACCATCGAGAACGAAGAACTGACCAAACGAGTGAACGAAGGATAAGAGGTCGGTAGATCCTTATCCTACGAACACACAACATTGCTGAAAACAACCGTGTGGGTGAAGGATGCTACAAGGTTCAACGAGAGCATAGACGTCCCAAGGGTAAGCATGAGAGCCGTTGTTCTACTCTTCAGGAAAAAAGACAATAACCGACAGCGAGGAATACATCTTCCCAAACATCGAGAAAGTAAAGGTTACGATAGAGGGAAAGCCGAATGCCGTATACAGTCAGGGCTTAACAACGGAAAATTTCTACGACGAACCAAAAAGACTATTCGGAATAGCCAACAACACCTGTAACGATAACATAAGCGTTAGGAAATTCTACAAAAATAAATTCGCATTGGTGGTTGATCTGAGAGCTGTTGATGACAATCATATCGTTGGAAGTGAAAAAAAGCTTCTCGGCGATAATCCTGGAATTCTTCTGGAGATCGAAACAGACGGGATGTCCGAAGACATTTTCTGTAACATTTTCGTGTTATCCGATGGACTTATAAACATCAGCGAAAAGACCCTTCAAGGTATTAGTTACTAAATAATAAAAGATGGAACCATTGGAAACACCATTCAACATGATCATTCTCGGAATGACCGGATGTGGGAAAACCTATTACCTACTAAAAATGTTGGAGAACGATTATAAAAACCACTTCGAGCATATATTTCTAATATGTCCCACATACGAATGGAACAAAACGTACCAGGACTGGAAATACAATAAGGATAAGGACTTTATAGCCATGCCCTGCAAACAGGACGACGTAAATCTGTGCTTAAAGCACGTTTCCTGGTTCGCAGAAGGAACGAATAGTCTAATCGTCCTCGACGACTGTGCTAGCAGTCAATCTGTCAAAAACAGAACGAGCGAACTGATAAAACTTGGGTTTAGCGCTAGACACATGGGAATCTCGACCATCGTTATCACCCAACAACTTACGTCCATTGCGAAACCCTATAGAGAAAATATATCTAAACTCGTAACCTTTTACAACCCGAGCGCAAAAGATACGAACATCATATTAGACGATTACTTAGCAAACACGGAAAAAGAAGAAAAAAAGGAAATCATTAATACGCTAAAAAAACAACGACTACGCCAGGCTGGAAATACTATTACGCCGACCCTATACCCACAAAACAATTATTCCGCATATTAAATAAAGGAATGGAAACCATATTCGAATCTACAGAACCTGAGACCCCTGTCGTAAGCGACCGAAGGGAAAAGCTACTGAAACTGGTTGACGCAGGTGAAATTAAATACACTGCAAAATACATCAAAAAAGCATCCGAAAAAACGCTGGAAAATATATACAAAGACTACGAAAGGCAGCAGCTGGAGAACACAAACAACCAACTAGCTGACGTCATCATCACCAAGTTTTCCGAACTTATGGAGGCGTTGGAAGCTGTCGAAGATGCTGAAGGAATGAAAAAAGAACTCGAGGAAAACAGTCTGCTCAGAAAAGATTTAAAAAACCTCGTCAGTTATGACAGTTATGTAACACCGTACATACCACTCATTGGAATACTAAGTGGTGGAATCACCGTTGGAAAACACGTGATCAGTACAAAGGTAAGCTGTCCGGAAAAGGAGGAATGAAAATCAACAGTTTATAGACAAGACTTTTCTTATATAAAATAAAACCATGGAATTTGCAGATTTCTATTTCCGTTGTCCGGAAATTCTGTCCAACCTTAATGACATATTAGGGCGTGAAGTCTGCATCTACTTTGGATTCCATTATGTGGATGGAGAAACCGGATACGAATCAGACAAGCGACACATCATGTGTACCATAGTTCCAGTGCAGAGCAACATAAACAACGTCATCATAGGACTTTTTGTATCAACGAAACCAAAAAGTAATTTCCATCCAATCCAATGTTGGTTGGAGTGCCTGGAATACAACGGAACCAAATCCATCCTCAAATTGAGAAAGCCAAACGCGCTAAACCAGTACGACGGTGAGGAGGAGGATATACCTCTTATGAAGAGTGATCGGAACGATCGGACTTTATGTTATCCGTATCGTAATCTCGGTAACCTTGAATATCTCCACTAGGTCCCCAAATTAAGATTTCAATGCATCTTACATTAATTTTTTTTTAATCTAAAGAGCAGCAATACCGCTGACGGCCGGTAAGCTGTTTTCGTACTCAACTGCCATAACCGATCGGTCGCTCCACCATATCCTAAATAGATTTCCCATACCGTAGGAACGGACACGTAAAGACGGTACGGAAAACACCCACGACTCCGCAAAACCGTCAGGTTGTCCCAAATTAATACCGAACTCCGGACCGTCCAGCGTGAAGTCTTCTATCTCCGCAAGCGTCACATCCTCCGGAACGGTGAGGAAAACGATGATGCCTATCGGTGGACCGAAATGGATCGCGTTCACACCCATAATAATAGCGTTCGGTCCCGTTCCCGTGTCCTCGAACCTCTCTATCAACTCTTCCGTGTGAAAAGTTGACCCCGGCGTCCGCAAAGTTGGTGTCTCCGTCATGTCTGATGAACTCCGTCATTTCTAAGGAACATTCGAAGTATAGCTGAACTCTCCTGAAACTCGTCATGATTGTTTCATTTATATGTAAATTATTCCTAAAGTTGTTTTTGTTCTCCAGATCCAAAGGGTATGGAAGTAGGAAAGATGAACAACCGACCGACAAGGACTTGTAGACGAAGTCCTCTTTATTATATAGAAAAAATTTTACGTCTGAAATGCTGATTTTACAAAGCGTCAGTCACCGATTCTTCCTCTTCTTCCACGAACACAACCTCATCGTCGCCGACCTCCTCCTCAAAACCGCTCTCGTCATCTTCATCGTCATCCGATTGTGGATCGCGATGGAGTTCGTCATACCACTCGTCGAAACATATCTTTGTAGGTCTTCCAAGATTCACTCTCTCTCCGTTGTCGTCAATAACACATCCTTCGATCACAACGGTGTTAGGGTCTTCCTGATAGTCCTTGGAGTCGGGATTTATATGTATTAGTATGCTTTCGACTATGAGTGAGGTTGGAGGGATAATGTATTCAATTTTGTTGCCTCCAACGAGGAATATTTCATCTTCTTGCACGGAGAATCCGAATTCTGGAGAGCAGACGTTAGCCCGGAGATATATAGTTGTACTTTCTGGATTTTCCGGATCGAACACGTTCCGAATTTCCGGGATCATGGTCGGATAGTGGAAGTAGAGTTTCATTGTGTTTATTTATATAGAAAAAATTTTTACGTCTGAAATGTTGATTTTGCTTTTGGAAGACTTCGGGAAGACTTCGGAAAGCATTCTGCAGACGCGTGGGGCGGAGGTTTGTGAGGGACTTTGGGAGGTTGTGTAGGGGGTGCGCAAGGGATTGTGGGGCTGGAAGTGACGTCATAGTTTTGGGTATGTCTGGGCAAGCCTGATTGTGGTAAACCGGAAGTGACGTCATCAGATGCGCGTAGGAGGTGCGTAATAGAATTGTGGATCCACTATAATTTGTCTTACATGAAGTACTTCCAAAGTGAGCCAGAACCCGCCATTCCCTACTACTCATAGGAGGGTCTGGAGTCCGCCCCCAGAAAACGTTTACATTTTTGATGCTCAATTAATGACAGCATTTCTGGAATTTTCTGGAGCATCCACAAGGGTAACGAGTAAATGAGAAGACTGTTTTAATTAAGGCTATTTTTTTTAGTTTGGTGACTGCACATTTGTGTTTTGAGAACTGCACAAATGGGTTTAGAACTGCACATTTTGTGTAGAACTGCATGTTAAAATAAACCCTAGTCAGGGTTTATTTTAAGAAAAATTTAGAATTGCACAATAGGGATGTTACGAAGGCAACGGGTGTTTGACTGGGGGGTCGCAGGATTTTTACCTGCATATAGGTGACAGAATAATGGTGTGGTTGGGTGGGAGAATTGGAGAAAGGCCAATTTTGTTTTGGTGTGTTCCCCAAAACAATTTGAATCTAGAGGCTCTTACGTTCTGGCAAAGATTTGTTTTACCCAACCACTCACAAAAACTGCTTCAAAACATGTAACTGAGAATCATGGATACCCAATATATAACAACCTTAAACTTGCATTTGAGGCAGCAAAGAATATTACTCAAATAGGTTCTCCCACTCTAATCTCTTTTGGGGAGCTTCGCTCGCCCCAATTTTAGCTTCTTTTCCATTACCCCAGCACGTAAGTGATTTGTGAGGAAAATAGGAGGGTATGGAGTCCTCCCCCAGAAAACGTTTATATTTTTGATGCTCAATTAATGACAGCATTTCTGGAATATTCTGGAGCATCCACAAGGGTAACGAGTAAATGAGAAGACTGTTTTAATTAAGGCTATTTTTGTTAGTTTGGTGAGTGCACATTTGTGTTTTAAGAACTGCATGCACAAATGGGTTTAGAACTGCACATTTTGTGTGGAACTGCACGTTAAAATAAACCCTTGTGTATTCAATACTTACATGTGGGGAAGTCTGTATTTGCTATTTTGCTTGCTATATCATCCCTGCATGATGGATCTAGCTGTTTCGGACTAATCGGACAATATGCCATGCAACTTTAAGACATGCCTTTTTCAGATTGTACGACTTGCCTCCAGTTCAATGTCAAGGGTGAGCGATCGATCAAGACATTTATACAAGTGAAGACAGTCGTAAACCAATATGTTTGCGTTTTAAGATGAACCATCGAAATACTTTGAAAAAAGACTACAAGAAACTTCTGCTCTGCTCAGTGAGTTTATATCAGTAAAATTCGAAATTTCCAATTGCACCCTTCACTAATTGGTCTGCATGATTCCTGTAATACAGTCATTGAAACTCGTACGAAAGCTCGATCGAACCCCAAATGTAAGTAGCAAATTCTGTCTGATTGGTCAGTGTTAAAATTTGGTTAGCATTGCAGGCATAATATGCAGGCATAATACAATCTGTGCACAAGCTATCCAGCATAGAAATTAGTAAAGCAGGATGAGTGGGGACAGGGACGTAGCGAAGCATCTGAAGTTGGCGGTGTCGGAGGATTTTACCTGGATTTTGAACTTCAATGTTAAAAATTTACCTGCAGTGTATTAATTATATATAATTTATAATAGCGCTTTTTTTGTGATTGATTTCCACTGTGATACTAGGTTTTCGAAAAAAAAAGGGGGGGTCTGCGTGTCCTCTCCCAGAAAATATTTACATTTTTGAAGTTCCAGGACTGAATGTCTGGCGTTTTCTAAAGTAAATTCGCAAGCGAATTGGGGGGGGGGGGGGTTACACCCGGGGATCAGTGTTCAATAACTTATTATAGTTCCCAGGGCTCAGGTGTCTCAATCGTAGATATGATGACGATGATGATGAAAGTAAAAGAGGTGAAAAACATTTAATTATAAAAACATTTAATTATAAAATTATAAATTCCAAGTAGCGATGACAGCCTCGAGAACCTGATTGTCTTATATCAAAGACTGTGGCGCATATATAAATATATTTTGACGCAAACACGAAAAATATTTTATAAGTTTTATACATGTAAACAAAAATTATAACGTTATGGTTTATACATCCAATTATAAATACTTTAGCTATGCTTACGTACAAATAAAAAGTATAACAATTAATATATTACAATACGGGGTATGAACGATAGAAAGAATGTCATAAATATATTACATCCAGTATGTACTCCGAGATTCAATGGGAATGACCTGCAATGAAAGAAAAGAATGTCTGAATCTAAATCAGTTAGCTATATATAGGCCCATGCAATACGTAAACGTCGATTGGAAATGGAACTAATAGTAACTATGAAAGAGCACAAGGTTTGGACACAAATTTACCAAATATTCAATAGTTTGTTGGGAAAAAATACATTCAAATCATGTTGAGTAAAAACAAGAAAAACTAGAAGTCCAGTAATTTGAGCAATTTTAAAATTTTCTGTTCTAATATACGCTTTCCGACCATCAGAATTCAGTGTAAAATCTTCCCCTACTGTGCATGAAATGGCGTTGCAGATTGTTATGAAATACCTGAATTTAACATACTTTCTGATAAACCTGCCAGAATGTTCTTGATTTTTCCTAGCATTTACCGGAATTTCCGTGATTTTCTAAAGCTTCTTGGAGGCAGTTGCCCCCTGTCTCGTACGCCAATCGAAGCCTGGCCTGCGTGGCTTAAGAAACTGCTACTTACAGGTTGCATTGTTCAACAAACTGAGCCAAAACATTAACTGTATTGACTAAAAGATGAACCAAATGATTAACTTGGACTTTTATAGTGCTTGTAAAACTTCACTATAACATTAATTTCCGGCAAATAGTATTAATATATAGAGGATGTTAGGGTTTGTAATCCAAGTGAGAATATATAGATTTTAAGACCTAACCAGGAACGACTGCGAAAAATGCAACACAAGGTCCTCTGGTAGGAATCGAACCTACGGCCCTGCGATTCCGGAGCAGCCCTCTACCCAACTGAGCTACAGAGGCCAGCTGTTGAGCTGTAACCGTAAGTTCATGTATATATAGGTCGGGTGTGCGGGTTGTGATATGGTGGACTTGAATAACTAATATATAGATATGCAAAACTTGCATGACTCTATATAGCCCGTCCATCTTTGAAACTTTACTAACCTATGATGGACATTCAGTGTAATACGTTCTTCTGTGACTTGTTCTGTCTCAAGATATGTTGACGTGATCAGTGTAGGGTATGACTGTTTTACTACTTTTTTCTTCTTTCTCGTATTCGATTTTAATTTTCGTCTTTTATTCTCTGGATCGTTCATCTTTTGTTGAGATCTAAAACATCAACAGGACACATGTTGATAACAGTAGTTTTTTTACTGAATTGCCCAATATCCTCTGTAAAGATTCGATAAAACTAGTGAATGTTATCCAGATGAATGTTGTTAAATATATATTCGGTCAATCCTTCATCAGTACTAGTATAGTAGTATGTGTGCTTAGAAATAATTCGTTTTGCACTGTGAAAACTGAACCATGGTTAGTAAATTCACAATTCCTCCAAAAGTGTCGAATCTATGTCAGACCCATAGAAGGTCAGACCTTACGCTAAACTGTGACAAATCATCAAATTTGACTATGGCGTACGTTATTCTATCCTATCTTCAGGAACGCTGGAGAGAGAGGGGGCGCCCAGGAGGGAGGGTATCGCCCTTTCGTAAGTGGAGCAAGGGGGCAAAGGTGCCCTTTTTTATTTTAGGGAAATATTTGAGATGTTTTAAAAAAGCATTAAAGGCCATGTAAAGTCTGTGATGTAAACAAACGCTTTGTTTACATTTTGAACTCAGTGCCACAGTTATAAGACATGATTAGATATATATTATACTGAATTTTTAACACTCTTCTGGTTCGCTATGCTTGTAAATGAATACAGACTAAAGATTCAATTCAACAAAGTCGGGTTCCGACCATTGGAATGTAGGCCTGCGCAGAACGGCCTTTACATGGTCTTTAAAAAATCCTTACATTTTCGCCACATGAGCCCAAAATAGCGAGTCAAAATACAGTTTTTAGGGAAAATGTACATCACTTTACTCGTAGGCGTTGATTTGATTACGGAATCGCTAATTATTGTGAAAATTATGAACCCGTCCTTGCCTTCACGTCGTTTCAGCGTCCCTGCCTATCTTGGATTGCGAAGGACGCAGCTTAACCTGATCAAGTCAAAGACTTTCTATATAAAAGTTATAAGTATAAGGGTGCCTGCGGCAGCCACCTGATGTCTTGATCATCACTCTGATCACGGAGCGCAGCCACGGTGGAAGGGTCAGTTTGGGGCTTATCCCAACTCACCCTGTCATCATTCATCGTGGGAGGAAGAGTACCCGAAGAAAACCGGCCACGACTTTCGTAGGTCTCAGCACAATCTCAGAGGTCTGCAGCACTATCTCAGAGGTCTGCAGCACCATCTCAGAGGTCTGCAGCACAATCTCAGAGGTCTGCAGCACTATCTCAGAGGTCTGCAGCACCATCTGAGATGTCTGCAGCACAATATCAGAGGTCTGCAGCACAATCTCAAGTCTGCAGCACTATCTCAGAGGTCTGCAGCACAATATCAGAGGTCTGCAGCACCATTTCAGAGGTCTGCAGCACTATCTCAGAGGTCTGCAGCACAATCTCAGAGGTCTGCAGCACCATCTCAGAGGTCTGCAGCACCATTTCAGAGGTCTGCAGCACTATCTCAGAGGTCTGCAGCACTATCTCAG